GGGCATTTTCTCTTCCCCCTAGGACAGAAAGAGGAAGGGACAGCATGTGGGCAGTGGGTACAGCACCAGGAAGGACTTCCCACCTGAGCGGTGTGGGGGAAGGCCAGCCCCTGAAGGAGGGATGAGGGAGGTGGTGGCATCTTCTCAGGAGAGAAAAGAAGTTCTCTCTTTCCTCCCTACTCTGGGCTGAGGAGGGCTGAGTGGATGTGAGGGGCGAAAACTGTACCTTGGACTCTTGGTCATGAGCATGGGGCAGAAGGCTGGGGTGAAGAGGATAGGGCCCATGGACTTCCCGAGTACCCTGCAAGGGCTAGAAATGGGTTCCCCCTCATTGCTCCTTTGGGCTACCCCTTAGCAGGGCCTGCGTTGGGAGAGGCAGGGCATTCTGGGGGCTGTGCTGGAGACCGTCTAGCTTTGAAAGGGGAGCTTGGGTTGGGCCCCAGAGTTGGAGTCCAGGGCCCCAGAAATGGGGACAGAGAAGAGGACAGCCAAGGTCGAGGGGGAGACCGGAGAGGCACAAGGGGAGGCGAGGTGCGAGGGAGGCTCACGGGGTGCCAGCATGGGTGGGCTCCGAATACCTATTGTCACTGTGGCTCAGGAACTAAGCTCTCCTCCCCCGATTGGGGGAGAGGGCATTGGGGGAGAGGGCGGTTGCTGGAGCGGCCACCTCCTCTCCGCCCTTCCCCCAACCCTCAGAGGACCCTTCTGTACCTGGAGGGCCCTATTTTGCAGGCTTTAGCCCCTTTCCAGGCAAGGGAAAGCTCCTGGCAGGGTTGGGGGTTTGTAAGGGGAGAAGCCGAGGGTTTCCAGGGGAGGGTGGACAACACCGGGTCTTGGCCTGAGGGGGACTCTCCAAGGCCAGGCTCTCACTTGGCTCAAGGTGATGCTCTGCCGCGTCCCCAAGGCCAGGGCAGGGCGATCTATTGCATTTTTATTGCCTGGGTAGTTTGCCCAGAGCCCGCAGGAGGCACTGGGCTGGGAGCCTGGGGCAGGGCGGGGCAGCGGGCCCACACAATGCGCCCTCTGTGCCTGTCCCAAGTTGGCAGGAGTGTGGTGCCCTGTTCATTGCACTGGAGGTTTCCAGCCTGGCCCTCCCACTCTGGGCTTTCTGAGGGGAGGGGCTGCCTGCCACCCGAGAAGGAGCTGTAGCAACCCCAGCCCCTAGCTTGTCAGCATCCTGTCTGTGAGCTGTGAGGTCTGTTCTGGTCTCCCCTCTCAGACCCCCCAGTCCCCCTGCTGCTTCTGCCCCAGACACTCCTCACAGCATCCCCTCAACCCCTGCCATTCCCCCAGAATCCCCCAGCCCTGGCCCCTTTCTCCTAAGCCCCTGGGCCTTTACATCTTTTGGAAACTTCTCCTCAGCTGCCCACACTGTTCCTTTCCTATCCCAGCAGGCCTTGCTGGTGTTGGGGGGGTGGGTGGTGTTTGCTGCTTTCTAGGTCACCACAGAGGGAGCTGGAAGCTTGGGGATGTGGGTCAAGATTGTGGGGGCTGCGTCTGAGCACGCCACATCCCCAGGCACCAACTTGACTGGCTGTAGACTGTTCTGTCCTCAGTCTCCGAATTGTTCCCAGCTCAGCACCTGGGGCAGAGATGTGTGGAGTGGCTCCTCTGACAGGAGCAGTGCCAGGAGGTGGGGACCAAGCCCACAGGATCGGGGTAGGCAATGAGCCCTAGGCAGTCTCCACTAGAAACTGAGAGGGACAAAGCCCACAGGCCCCGGACCCACAGGTCGTGGGCCTTCTAGCCCGGGCTGTACTAGTGGACACAGTCTCCAGTACCAGGTCCTTGGAGAAGCAAGCATCCCAGCCACAGAATGTTAAGCTGCTGCTCTACCTGCCTGGTCTTGTCTGGCTTGGTACCCTGTGGTTCTTGGGGGGGCCCCCTGGTGCCAGCCTCCAAGGAGGTCTGCCTCACAGGACAGCTTAGGAGCCAAGTGCAATTAAGGGTCTACCCCCTGCTGCTTCTGTCCTGGTCTGGCCACCAGCAAGACTGACCTGTGACCTTTAGCTTTTGAACTAGACCCCTGAGTGAGTTAGCCGTGCATCAGGCCACGTGCCTCTCCGGCGCCATGGGCCTCTGGTCGGCCTGGCTCACCCCTGCCTTCCCGGGGCCCCATGTGCCAGCCGTGCAGCGCATTGCTGAGTCGCACCTGCAGTCCATCAGCAATCTGGGCGAGAACCAGGCCTCCGAGGAGGAAGATGAGCTGGGGGAGCTGCGGGAGCTGGGCTACCCAAGAGAGGAAGACGAGGAGGAGGAGGAGGACGATGACGAAGAGGAGGAAGAGGAGGAGGACAGCCAGGCTGAAATCCTGAAGAGTAGCAGGGGGCCTGGTAAGCTGAGGGGGTGGGGAAGCCTGATGGGGTCCTCCCTGAGTGACCTGGGGCACCCCTCCCAGTTCACAGCTTTTCACACATGTAAACTGCCATCGCACGGCGAGGGCCTCCCCATCCTCCCACCCACAAGGTGCCCTACCGGATACCTGGACTTCTCCCATCCTGACCCAGTCCCTCTCCTGCTCAAGTCGTCCCCAGTAATTCCTCTCTTCCCTGAGGATTACAGCAAGGCCACATGAGGTTTGAGACTAGACCCAAGAAAAGACTTCCCGGCCATGGCCCTGAGGGGCTACAGGAGATGCAGGGATAGAAAACTAAAAGGGTCCAATGTCCCCATTTCCTGCATTTTTAAACGTAGGATGTGGTTTCTGCTGGGAGGCTAAGAGTGGGTTCCTAAGTCCTCCCCAGGAGGCTGTTTCTCCCCCTTTTATTTCCTGGGTTGGGGTGAGGGGGTGGGGGTGGTGAGAGGTGCCCTCTAGTGTCTAGATGAAGAATCTGGGATTCAAGAACAACCTAGCCTTCTGCGTTTCAACTCCAACTGCGAGGCAAGAGAGGGGTCCAGAAGGAACCTAAAACCTACACAAAAGACCTCAGAGCTAGAGGACCCAGACCCAGAAATCTCCACCGAGGGTCCCAAGGCCCAGAGAATTCCTAGGCAGAAAGATCTCTGTCCCTCCCATAGCTGTGTTTTCTATGCTTAGCTATGGAAAGCTGTGCCCTATCTATCCCTCCCGGTGCATGTTAAACTTTCTGGTCCCATTATTTATGGGGATGAGAAACAGTCGACCACCCCTGCTTGCAGTGTCCAGCCCTTGCACCCAAACAAAATGGCTTGGACCTCCTCGGCATCTCTGGCAGTGGGGGATCAACACTGGAGCAAAAGCTTCAGGTAGAAGTTGAGTGAACTCCCCCGTGAGACTCTTAGGACAGGTCGAAAAGAAGCAAGAGGAGACACTTCCCTCTGGAAAAGCAGCAGGGCAGAGGGTCAAATGACAAGATTACCAAAGAGAGATATTGATCACCAGCACTCCCGGAGTGCCGGTTTGGTCTGATCAGCAAATTAACTAGTCTCTTATTTAAGATAATCTATGCAATTTCCTTCTCACCGTCCCCTTCAGAGAGGTAGTAACTGACTTATCTAACTCACATAGCTAGTCACTGGGACAGCATTCTTGGTCCAGCGTTCTCTTCATCATACCATGATGCCCTCAGAAAGCTTAGCCTCAGCCATCAGACAGGCTCAGCTCACGCTCCCGGAAGGCTGCTGAACGGATACTTAGAGTCTGTGTTTTTATCCCTTCATTTCCATTCCAAGCTGGGCAGAAGACAGCTTGTGGCCAGGGTCTGGAAGGACCCTGGGAGCGCCCACCCCCTCTGGATGAGCCCCAGAGAGATGGAAGCTCCAAGAAACAAGTGGAAGACCTGGCACTAAATGGTGAAGCTTGGTGGTGGCGGATGGGAGGCGGGGCTGGGATTTTTGTGGGCGTGGCCAAGCCCTGACTCCCTCCGCTTGCCTTGCAGAGCCGGGGGAGGAGCCACAGCGCCCCGCCCACCCTGAGCCTGGCACATAGGCAACCCTCTTCGCGTCGCTCAGAAGGAAGTGGAGGGGGCATTGCTGTTCCCCAGAAACCCGCTCTGTCCCCATCCTATTCTGTATCCTTCCCCCTCACTCGCTAGGGCTGTGGCTTCTGACTTCTAGAAGACTTAAGGCTGGTCTGTGTTTGCTTGTTTGCCCACCTTTGGCTGATGCCCAGAGTCCCTGGGCACTTGCTGCCTGATGCCTACCCCTGCCAGTCATTCCCCCATTTACCCAGAGGGAGGCGGGATGTGAGTGAGTTTGCAGTGGATAATCCAGTAAGGGTGGGGGCCAAAGGTTTATCCTTCACAATTCTACTCCCCAGACCCTTCTCCTGGGCACAGGAAACCCACAGGGCAGGACCCTAAGATCTGGGGAAAGAGGGTACTGAGAACCTGTAGGTGCCCTTAGACCCTTCTCCATCCCCTCTCCTATGGGGGATTTCAAGTTACCACCCCTCTCTGTCTTCTACCAGGGCCCAGGATTCAGGCATCCTTCTCCTCAACCTCAACATTTTAGAAATCTTCCCTTTATCACCCCTGCTCCCCAGCCTGGGTGCCTGGAAGATGGACTAGCAGAGGCTGCTTTGTTGCGTTTTGTTTGTGCTTTGATGCCAGGAATGCCGCCTAGTATATGTCCTTAGGGGGGCGCACGGTGGGGAAGCCAGGTTCTCCTTGTCCTCCAGCTGCTCTGCCCCCTTCCCCTCGTCCCTGACTCCAGGCCTGAACCACTCCTGTGCCGTAATAAATAAATCTTTGTAAATAACCGTGCTGAGACTTCTCAGAAAAGCAGAGGGAGGAGGGGGAAACGGGTTCCCCTATGTGGAAGACCTGGTGGGTAGCCACCTCGACCCTAGTGTCAGGTCCTCTAGTCTGGATCTTTCCTGCAGACAAGTTCAGAGCACTCTTTGGAAGGACCACAGAAATACCCTAGGATCCTGCTAGGGGTGGCTGAACGAGGCAGGGAGGGAAAAGAACTTTCAAGAGTAATTGGGTTTCTCCGAAGGGATCTGTCCGCCAGCCCCAAAAGCCTCCCCTCGGTTAGTTCCCCTTTTTTCCCCCACAGTGCCAGGCCTCTGTGGCCCAACAATGATGATGATCCTGGGCTTCTTTCCCATTTCCCCCACCATTAGTAAGACCCTCTCAAGCAGTCCCCATTTCCGGCCCTCCCAGCCGGACCCTGCCGCTTGGGGGCGGAGACTGAGGCGAAGGGGCGGGGCTGCACCCTACGCACGGCCCCGTCGCTCTCGGGGGCGGGCTCAGTGGCGGAAGTGGCGCCACCGGGAGATCCTGTTCCGCTCGGAGGCGCTCGGGGGGCTGCGGAGCGGGACTGCGGCTGAGGCAGGAAGAGCCTGGGCGGTGGCTGATATGGAGCAGGTGGGTCCGGGGGAGGTCACTGGGGCCGGGTGGTACGAGGTCTGTGTCTTGTCAGCGGATTCCACCTCCCTGCCCAGTGTCCGTTGTTGGTTCCGTCCGACCCTTCCCGCACCCGCCGCGTCTCAGGTTCCGCCCCCTCTCCCTGCTCGGCCTCGCTCCGCCCTGCGCGGGGTTCTGGGGGTCTCCCACGCCGACCCTCCGAGGCTCCGCCCACCCGAGAGCGCCAGGGAAGGGCGTTCCGGATCGCCCTCCCGAGACACGCTCTTCACTCTGAGGGGAGAGGCGAGGCACGAAATCTGGGTAGTGGGGGTCAGGAGTTGGATATGGGCAAGGGGTCAGGGTCTCTGAAAGAGGAGGAAAACATCTACACGTCCCGATAGGTCTGCGTCTCACTGTCTTCCGGTCTCCCCCAACTTCCTTTGAAAACGGCAGTGAATGACTTCCCTAACTGACATCAAAAGGGCTCTTTAAAGAATCTCGAGTTCTTAGAGGTGCATTACACCAGTGATACTCGTTCCTAATTGATGTAATTGACACGCCCCTCCCCCTTGGCGTCCTCGGCGTCTGCATCTCCTTATTTTCTTCCTCCTGTCCTGCCAGTGGAAGTACCGTTTCCCAGTCTCATTTCCTGCCCAAACCCCCGCTCTATACACTGAGTTTTGTTTTGTTTTGTTTTAAAGATTTTATTTATTTGACAGAGATCGCAAGTAGGCAGAGAAGCAGGCAGAGAGAGAGGAGGAAGCAGGCTCCCCGCTGAGCAGAGAGCCCGCTGCGGGGCTCGATCCCAGAATCCTGGGATCATGACCTGAGCCGAAGGCAGGGGCTCCAACCCACTGAGCCACTCAGGCGCCCCTATACACTGAGTTTTGATGGTCTCATCCACTCTTGTGGCTTCAGCTCTACACCACCTAGGTACCCGAAAGACGCCCACATCTACCTCTTTCTTCAGCGCAGCCACTCCCTGGAGCCCCAGACTTGGGCGTCCAAGCTACCAGTGGACAGCTCCACTTCAGCGGCAGCTCTCTTGGACTGGTCTTTCCCCCCTGCAAATGCATTCTTCCTGTGCCATCGCATCACAGCGCGAGACCAGGAAATTGTATTACGCTTCCTCTTCTCCCTCAGTTCCCATATCTGTGGGGTGCCCCGATCCAGCTGACTTCCTGAACATGCTGTACACCTGGTCCTGGGCCTCCATCTCTGGTACCACCTTGATGTGTTTCTCACTAGGATAACTGTAGTGGCTTCCCAGCAGCTTCCAATCATGGCTGCTTGCAACCCAGTCTCCACACTAAGCCTTAGGATCATTTTTTTTTTTTTTTTAAATTAAA